ATCGACAACGAAGGGGTCAGGGACGTGGAGGAGGTATCCGCAGACTGACAGGTGGACGTAGAAATGGGAGCCGCGAAGATGGAGGAAGGGGCAGGGGGATCGGGCTCCAGAGAGATGAGTTGAACCTCGGGATAGACTGCATCATAAAGAAGAAGATCCATGATGTTTACTGAGTAAAATGTGACGTCCTCCTGTCGTATGAAGTGAGCAAACTGACGAGGGAAGTGAAGGCGATGTCGGGGTGGGACCCTGAGGGACGAGGGTCCTTGCCCCCAAGCGGGGACCCTGAAGGCGATGTCAACCCTCAATCTTGGTTGTCCTTGCCCCCAAACGGGGATCTTAATTTGTTTGTGAAGAAAAAAAAAAGAAAAAAAAGACATTTGATGAAGACAAAAACATGCATGTGTAAGACTGTTCCGTTGGACTTTCACTGACTGATGAGAACAAGGTTTTTCAGTGGTACAACTGTGCGACTTGTTTACATTGTTTTTATGTGAACAACTGCATCCAAAGACACTTGTATATACAGTTGTGCAGACTCATTTGCATGAGCAGCTAGATGAAGAGGAATGTTCCACACCAGCTCACAAACTCCATCAAGGGTTAGTACTTGGGGAGGGAACACTCACTTTCATGGGCATCATCATGTCTAGTCCCGTATCAATATGGATATGAAAATACACATGCAAATGGATGTGATCATATATCTATTGTCAAACAGAACTGTTTGGTAAGCCGTAGGCAGAGAGGGAGAAGAGGACAACAAACTGTGAGAAACTGTTTCGTCGGAGTTTCTCAAACTTTCTCCCACTCATCAGGAGAATCCAAAAAGAATTGGTAAAAAATATGGTTGTCATAGGTGGAGAGGTAACAAGTAGTGTGGGACTCTCATAAGTTGATCCTTGGCCTAACTACCATTAGACACTACCTGTGGTAGCTCAAGCAGGAATGCTCCTGGTACGAGCCCTGGGATGGGGGCACGATGTTGTGCTTATGGGCCTGTAGGAATCACACCTACTAGCATCTGGTGTGCCCGCGTCACAAAGCTCGTAAATCAGTGCTTCAACTCGATTGGGTCTAACCACCCCGCGTTGCTTCCTGTGAGTGTGACCGATATCCATCAGTCCGTCACATAGTTGGGGAAAGTCCCGAATGTTGAACCCTGAGTGTCAGAAATGATGGAGGAAATGGGGGTTTGACAAAGAAATATCAAAGGAAAGTAAAAGGATATTCCTGAGCTAAAAAAAAAAAAAAAAAAGTGTGCATACCATACATAATGTAAATATTACATACATACATAGGAGGTGGATTGTCACTACACACCGTCATCAATTAGGAAGCTCTGCAGATTGCCGAGGGATCGGCCACGTTATGACCCACTGAAACTCTGACCGAATAGTCTATCACAGATTCACAGCCCCTTGTTTGTTGTCCTCTTCTCACTCCCTGCCTACAGTTCACCCGACAACTCTGTAACTCCCGATAAATCAGTGATTCCACCAAATAGCCTGTCACACCCGCTCGTTTGTTATATTGTTCTCCCTTTTGTCGGTTATCGGAGGCTACAATTCACTGGGAAGTTATCGATGACAATAACTGCCTGGTGAACCGTCTGAAGAGAGGGGAAAGAGGACAATAAGCAAGGGGGTGTGACATACTGTTTGGTCGGAGGCTCACCGACTCATCAGGAGACATAACCCTCTACAATGTGCAGAGTCCCCGAACCTATGTTACTATAAGCAATGGTCCACTTTAACCCCGGTTGAAGTTAAGCATCAACGACTGTCTGACAACTGATACACAGAGGTGGGCACTAACCACAGCCTTCAATGTACCCGTGATGGAAATCAAATGTTACATCTTCGACGCACACGGGCCCTACCGGACCCGACTTAGGGTCGGAGGGACACATCAGGGCCTAAAGGCCCGACCTTGGGATAGTACAGGCCCTCAGGGCCTGATCTTGGACCAGTACCCAACGGGCAGGCCCAAACGGCATTATCGTTTGGGCCTGGCGGCGCTCTTGAGGCTGCCGCCCGCCGGTTGGGGCTGAACCGTCCATCTGGACGGTTCAGGGCATGGCCAGGCCTCGCAGCATTGAGGCCGGCCTCTGCCCCACCGGTATAAAGTACCGGTACAGCCTCACTTGGAGGCATCGACCTACCGACACTATACCGGTACGGTATGGTCAGCGCCAGAGCGCTGTTTTGATGCGCTAAGTTTAGCGCAGGAGCGAGCAAGGAGCAGCAGCGGCAGCGCAGCATTAGAGCAGCAGCAGGGCGACTGAGCCAGCACGGCGGCCATGGCCGCCTGAGGTACCTGGGAGCCAGAGGACCTCTCCTCCCTCCCTCGTCAGCTCTCTCTCTCTCTCTCTCTCCTCCTCCTCCTCCTCCTTCTTCTTCTTCTTCTTCTTCTTCTTCTTATTCATCTTCTTCTTCTTCTTCTTCTTCTTCTTCTTCTTCTTCTTCTTCAGACTAGAGACTTATGCTAGTTGGACAGAGATCAGAGTTGGACTTCGGTGATATGAGACTGTGGTACTTACCAGATTGGAGACTTGGAGATCGTTGGGGTTGATACTTGGCGACATCACAGTTCAGACACCGGTTACATTTGGACTCTGTATCCCCGACATTGGTGACCTATGGTCCTCGACATTTTGATCTTGTTGGACGACATTTTGGACTACCATATCGGTGACCTATCAGATTCTACCTCGGTGACTTTCGGTGCTGTCTACCTCCCCCCACCTCTTCGTCTCTCCTCCCCCATTCATCTGTGTATGTATGTACGGGGCTGAGCATCTTCTATGTATGGCTCAGACCCCACCATCTCACGATTGAATGTGTGTGGAGTGATGCTATGTGAGTCAGTCTATGTGAGTCAGTCCGTTTATCAGACTTCCGTTGCATCTATACTCATCCTACCTTATTTGATTCTTGGTTCTGCCCATACTCATTGGAGTATGCAACAGTTTTGGTATCGGAGCAGACCAATAACGGATCTGCTCACCAGGTAAGTCCGTTTAGAAGTAGATTATTTGTTTGACCTTCTAAATCGGCGCTGAATTATTGTCAAGTTCAAAGTTGCAAAATTTTTTCTTTTCGGTACTCTATTTAGTTCGGCATTTCCGTTCAATTCGGTATTCGGACTTATAATTCGGATTTCTGTTTTCTTCCGGTATGCTGCCATTTGAGTTCCGATTGAGTAATACTAATCCGATAATTGATTAAGTTTCGGATTTCTGATGTTACACGAATTAGGGTTGAATCAGTATCATGTTGAAATTCGGCGTTTCTGATTTCCATTCAGCATTCCGTTTTTAGCATTTTYGTTGTAAATCCTATATTTCGTTGTCTTTTGGATTTCCGTTGTCTTTCAGTATTGGAAATTAGGGTTACGAGAATCTTTGGGTTT